TGCTACAGGAATCTAGGAAACTTATTTATCCTGTGTAGCCAGATGGACCCAACACAATGCTGATTCCACTGAAATAAATAAATGATCCAATTAAAACCATTGCTTGGCCATGTGCCCCTTCTCATTACACCTTATATTGGCACTGGCAAAAGTCACACACGAGGACCCATACTGCTGAAACTGGAAATCGGTCTCTGTCCAGAAGAGCTTACCATCTGAGATGTGAAATAACATCTGGGAATGGGGCCAGGAGAGCTAAGAGTTATAGCAGCTAAATTGCTCATGCTAATTGTGTGCTCATCTCGGCAGTTCACTAAAGAGAGACCGAATTGTACTGGAAGTCAGTATTCAGTGTTATTGATTTAGGGGTCCTATAGGAGGGGCAAGGTTGAAAGGGAATAGGAACAGCAAGAGTGTGGTGTGGTCTTATACATCCTGTGTGGTCCACAAGCACCATCCACGTGAATGTTAGTGCTCTGGGACAAGTAGTTCAAGGTCCTGTGGATGACCCAGCAGGAGTTCAAGTCTAGTCCTGCTGAGCAACTGCTTAGCAGCATGAATACGAAGGTCACTGCCTGGCCCAAAAGTAACAACTTCTTCACCCTGGCTGCGATTTACCTAGGGATGGGCTAAGAAGAAAGCATAAGGGCTAATAATACCAAGCTGTAAATTAGTCAGGGCACTGTGACAAAGCTTTCCAGACCTCCAGCTGCCATCTCTTCTCAGCCATTCTAGCTATACCTTGCACTCCAGCAAGGCATCTGTTAGAGCCCCACAGTGTCACTGATAACAGCTTGGCTGCATGCCCAGAAGGAACCAGCAAACAACACCTGTTCTCCCATATAGTTGGTCTTTAAATATTTCAGTAGTTAAATGATAAAAGGAAAACAGATCTGGGAACAGAGCAGCTTTGCATTTCCTATCACTCTCTGTCCACTTCTAACAATGATTAACAGGTGTGCAGACCTTTTTTTTGGCCTGAAGCCTTTGAGGGCTTGTCCACATTGCAGCTATGGTTCCAGTTATCCATGCTGAAGTTGCCCCTTCTCAAGCTAGCTGCAGTGAGTCTGGCCACATTTTAAAAGACCCCTTGAACTCTGCAAGGAGGTGGGGGCGGGGAAGGGCTAGTGCACAGAATAGCTGAGACGCCTTCTGAATTACTAGTTCAGGGGCTGACAAAACTCTGCACAAGTCCTTTGCTGGGCTGGCCTGCACAAACTTAAGGTATTATTAGCTTGAGCGATAGACATTTGTGTGTGCGCGCAGAAGACTCAGGTGAGGCACAACGCTCAAATTACACAAGATAATATTGCAGTCATGTCACGCCCTTTGCCCTCTGAGTGCTAACAGATGGGCAGCAGCAGGCAAGTGTCAGATAACTCCAGAGTACTGTGACTTTGTCCCTACTAAAAGGGCCAGAGAGCAGACCATCTCCTGCCAGCTAACACTGAGCTACTAAACAAGTCCTTCATTTCAAAGGTGCTTAGGTTAGCACATTCTCCATTGATAATTAATACCAAGGTCTTGATTAAAAGAATCCTCCCAAGAGAACCCCTGTATACTAGGAAATCCCTCTCTGTCCCAGTTACAACAGAGCTGCTCTGCCAGCGGGAGCAACAGTGAGAGCGGTGGTATACAGAGGGGTAAACTGGTTTTACCACTAAGAGCACTGGTATGTCTGCAGTTCCATCGCAGCAGCGGCTCCATTATAACATGGGCATACTCAAACTAGCTAGCTCCAATCCTGGTAGCCATCCAGCTGAGCCAACACAGAGGTCTGCATGGGCTGTAAAACCCACCCAAGAAAGAGGGTAAATTAGCCTGCTCTGAACTCTGTGCTGCCCCGGTGACACTTCTACCAGTATCCAGGCTGGCTGGTTTACTTCCAGCTCGGGGATCTACCCTGTGCTCGGGTGTCTACAGCCATGGCAGCCAGACCATGCAACACCCAGGCACATTCAGAAGGGAGTTAAATGAGTAGGTTGCATGAATGACAGTGTCCTGCCTATGCTCGCGTTCCCCCAGAGCTGCCCCCGGCAGAGCTGAGCCAGGCCTGGGGCCAACGCCATCGCTCCCCATGCAGTGCTGGCTGGACCTGCAGATCCCCCGATCCCCCCTGGCAGCCGGGAGGCCCGCGCAGGGAGCCAGCCAGAATGATGCTGCACCCAGTCGCTCCTCTGATTGCAAACCAGACACCCCAGTGGTGCCAACAGTGCAACCCAAGTGCAGCTATGCGGCTTTACTCCAGCTCAGGATTTGGATCCTGCCTCCTCCCCGCAACACACCCTCCCTGCTGGGCCAGGGAGTTGCATCCCGCTCCCCCCCACCCCCGTGGGGATGCGCTGCTGGCTGCGGGGCAGCACCTGCCCCGGGGCCTCCTCCCCCCCTG